TAGATATCCACAAAGCCATATTTGATATGAAGCCCTTCCAAGCACCCGGACCTGACGGTTTTCACGCGGCATTTTAGCAATAAGCTTGGAGGATGGTGGGGAAGTCTCTTTCGGATATGGCTATGGCTTTCTTCTCCACCGAGGCTCTTCCCACTTCGGTCATGGACTCAACTCTGGTTCTTATTCCAAAGGTGGAGTCGCCAGATAAAGTGACTCAGCTTCGCCCGATCTCCCTCAACAACGTCAGCCTCAAGGCCATCACGAACGGAAGGGGATCAGAAACTTTGAATCTTGGTGTCCATTGTTGGACTGCAAGGTAGTGATCGAAGATCACCCACGGACCGTCAGTAAGGGCCCAAAAATAGTCCTGCTCGTTGCTCAGCTTTACCAGCAGGCAATCATGATCGAGATCCATGATCTCCATTGTTCGAGTCGGTCTCCATAGTCCCCGTAAGCGCGAGCACAATGTAGAATAGCCAAGTTTGAGGCCCAGAAGCCGGACAACCAGTGTGCGTTGCCAAGGGGCGCAGATCCTGTTCTTGAAGTCCGCCGAAACTTTGAGGGCCGGTTCCCCGTTACGAACACCAGGGATGAGATCATTCTCCCCACCGGGATCCAAACGTTAGCATCGTTCCCCACCGTCGGTGCTAATTTCCACCTCGTAACCGCCGTGGCATAAGAGAACTGTTGAGAAGGCGTCGGGGAAGCCGGCAGAGGGTGGCCCGGCGTCGTCACGTCGATGAGCATCGCTGCCGGACTAGCGTCCACACCCCTTCCTTGGGATTATGCGGTTCAGTGGAAGGGACTGAGGAGGGCGAGGTATCCGGCGGACGATCAGGAGGGAGCAGCGCCGGTGTAGTAGCAGAGGAATCACCGTTGATCGTTGAGATCATCGTTCCTCCAGTCATCGTCGTCGATTAACATGACAACCATTTGAACACTTAATTAAATACTACCTATAATTTATGGCTCCTTTTTGGCTAGGGTAAGGTGAAGGGAAACATGGCTTAGGTTGGCGGGCTGATGAGGATTGCAATTGCGCTTATGAGAGCCCAGAGACTGGGTCAACATGCATTGGGCCTAATCCGATTCGCGATATTGATGGGCATGATTCTCTCCCGGTTACAAATCAGCAGCCACGTCGAAGTTAGGGCTCTTCTCCTCCCGAACACGGGATGAGGTTTTCAACATGTCATTGAAGAGGATGTAATCATCAATCAACAGGTTAATTGCATGATTGGTCATTGAGATTACAAAAAAACGTTCAAGTTTGGTCACTCGAAATATTTAAATCCATTAGTGGTACTTCAATTTACTGAAACTATTCACGTTTGGTCACTCTCTGTTAGTTGCCGTCCATTTCCGTTAATGAAGTCTGTTAAGTGATGATGTGGCGGACGAAATCGTCTAATCAGCCCTATTTAACCCGAAAATAGTGCGACCCGACCCGCCATGTCACTCAGACCCACCATGTCATCTAAACCTATTCAACTCTCTAACCAGACCCGGCCTAACCCAACCCTTTGACCCATAAGCTAAACTAACCACTCAGATTAAATCCCTAATTTCTAAAACAGAACCCCACCTTCCCCCTTTCGATCGTGCGTCGCCTGAAGAAATTCCGAGCGTCTTCCTCTTCCCCTTTGTTCACGATTTCACCGGCGGCGAATGAGGGATGGAGCCGGCCATGCATTCAGGGCTGAGACAAAGTGACTGCAGAGATATATTATTGGGGGCTGGGCTGGGTTGGGTTGAGTTTCATCATGTTTGATAATTCATTTTCATTGTAAGATGCCCAACGAAAAGGAATCATTTTCATATATACATACATCCTCCTCCATCCTTCTCTCCCTAGCCAGCCACAACCAATCATCAGTTTCAGTGCCTTCTTGTTTGTGTTATAATTTGATTGGGTTTGAGGGGGCCAAGATCTGGTGACTAGGGGGACCTTAGTCATCAGACTAAGCCTCTTTCAACCGTTGATTATATTTTAGATCAACGGTGCAATAGTCTAGCAGTAGGGACGGGGGCGTTATGGTCATTTAGCTTTCATTTAAAAAAAATTGTTATTTTATTTTAATATAAAATCTGTTCGTGGAGAGGAGAGAGAATTGCAGATCAATTTTTGTCCGTTTTCACCATTTTTCACGGGAGAGAGGCCCTTTTCTGTTCTCTGTCTCCACCATTTTTCCAGATCTACAAATTCGGAGTTCGTCTACAAATTCGTGTCAGTTTTGTCGGCGTTCTTCTCCGTCCGGCGGTTTGTATCGCTATCTGTTTCGGCGGTTACTGAGTTTTGTCGGCGTTCGTCTCCACCATTTTTCCTTACTTTGCGTCGGCGGTGTGTCGCGCTCAACTCTGAAGACTTCCTCGGCATCTTTCTTTCGCTTCTCCGTCTGTGCCGACGCCGGCGAATCTTTGTGAAGACGAAGACCGATTTTGGATAAGTCAAAACCGCATTTCTTATTTGGTATTCCCGATCGATTTTAAAACCCTAACCAGTTTTGATGCTAGGTCAGAATCACATTTCTAATTGTGGGTTGATTTGGAGAGTTTTAGTGATTTGCTTATAATGATTGTTTTGTTTAATGTAGGGTTTGTATGGTTGGAATGGGTTGTTTGTATACTTTTTGCGTTTGCTTGTACCGATTGTTTAGTTTGTGTGTTTTTATACCTCTGTTTGTACTCTTCGTGGTTTTATAGTTTGTATACTTTGTTTCTCAATTTATACAGTTTGTACACTTTGTCGGTTTGAAGTTTATGTATATGCTTTTGTACAGTTTATTACTCTTCTTCGTATGGTTTATTATTTTTATGATTCTACTTCGTATTGTTTTTTGATTGTATAGTTTGTATGCTTTATGGTATTGTTGGTTGCTTTTGTTGCTTTTAAGTAAGGACGGTAGAAGGTTCAGAGGTGGGAGGGTCAAGTACACATGCTGCTGAAGCTGAAGTTACTAAAACCAAGAGGAAGGGGAAGGAAGTTCAAATTTCTGATACAGGGAAAAGGAAAAGAAAGGTTGTTGCTGGAGAGCAGCAGAAGGCAGCACCTCGTGGAAAAAGGCAGAAGCGAGCTCCGGGGGGAGGAAATGAAGCTGCTTTGAACTATAGATGCAGCCCGAAAGAGATTCTTAGTCATGTTCTGCCTCCTTTATCTCATGGCATGGTACAATTAATTAAGCAGCTGGGTTTGGATTTTGTGTTTTTGATGAAGATGAAGCATCTATACAATGAACTTATTAAGTTCATTATTTCAAGGTGGGATGGGAAGAATAAGTGTATCAACTTGAATGATGGGAAGAAGATTTGCATTACGGAAGATGATGTTTACATAGTTCATGGCCTTCCAAGGGGACCAAATGTTGCTTTTGACAATTTGAGGACTTGTATGGGAGCAGAGAAGTCTGATTCTAGGTGGGTGAATATGTATGTGCTGATGATTTTTTGCCGCCTTTTCGAATCTGTTTCATCTAGGACGGTGACAACAGAATACTTGACTTTTCTTTCTCAAGAAATGGTTAAGTATTTCTGTGACTATGATTGGTGTAGTTATGTGTAGGGTCTCATTTGTGATAAGGTGACATCAAGTCAGCATAACAGTTGGGTTGAGGGAGATATGCACTTCTTGCTTATTTGTTTTCTCGATAGGACAACTGTGAATGAGGAAGAGGCCAGCCGCTATGTGAGTAATTTGGTGCCAACCTATCAGTTGTGGAGTTCGAAACATTTGAAGCAAAGGAAGGCAACAATGAAGAAGAAGTTTGGGAAGGATCTTGGTAAAGTTTTTGTTCTAAGGGATGCACCCATTTCTTCTACTACTCGTCCGAAGATGGCTCAAAGTCTTAGTGGTTTTGAGGTTGCTGGAGGTGAGAAGGGTGCTGGTATTGGAGATGAATTTCCAGATTTCGATTTGAATCTGGATGGGAAGACTGTTCAATAGGTGAGTTTGTATGGTTTTGTATGTGTTCTTTGGCTACTTTGTACAGATTGTTCATATGCTTTATAGTATTGTTTTCACAATTTATAAGCTTTAAGATATGTTTCTGTATTGTTTATACTATTTCCTATTATTCTTAGTATGGCTTGTTTGTACTCTCTGTATACTTTGTACTGTTTGCACTATTTGTACACTTTGTATGTTTTGGTCTCATCATTTGTACTGCCTGTATACTTTGTATCTTTTTGCACTGTTTGTACACTTTGTATGTTTTGGTCTCATCCTTTGTATTGTCTGTATACTTTGTATTTTTTTGGACTGTTTGTACACTTGGTATGTTTTGGTCTCATCCTTTGTACTGTCTGTATACTTTGTATCTTTTTGGTGTCAAGTTTTGTAGAGTTTGTATACTTTATATATTTTTATATTACTTTGTACTGTTTTGGTCTATTACTTTGTACTGTCTGTATTATTTGTGTACATTCTCTAACTTATGTTTGTGTTTTCTATTATTTGTTTTGTTGTAGGTTAAGTTGATTAGGAGAAGGTTACAAAGTGCATTATCTGAGTTGGAACAGCAAAGTAAGCTGTACCGAAGACAGATAAATCAGTGTCACCTATACCTGGTCGATATCGAGGTGCACACTGATTCTGAAGGTGTTGAACTTGTTGAGGAAGTTACAGCAAATGATTCTGAAGGTGCTGAAGTTGTTGAGAAAGCTACAACAACTGATAATGAAGAGAGTGAGTGTGAAGGAGGTTATCAGAGTGGGAGTGGGAGCGGGAATGGAAGTGGGAGTGGTAGTGATGGTGATGGGAGCGATGATGGTGATCGGAGTGGTGACAATGATGATGAGAGCGATGATGGAGATAGGAGTGAGGAGGAAACTAATGATGATGTAGCTCTAGTTAATCTGAAGAAGCCAGCTCTTGTGCGGCAGCAGCCAGCAGTGGAGAAGATTGGAAGTGCTCGTGCTCCAGCACTTCTGCAGCAGCCAGTTGAGCTCCAGAAGACTCATGCACTTGGGCGCCAGCAGCAGCAGTGGAGAAGATTGGAAGTGCTCGTGCTCCGGCACTTCCGCAACAGCCAGCTGAGCTCTAGAAGACTCCTAGACTTGTGCGGCAGCAGCCAGTAGTGGAGAAGATTGGAAGTGCTTGTGCTCCGGCACTTCCGCAGCAGCCAGCTGAGCGCCAAAAGACTCCTGGACTTGTGCGGCAGCAGCCAGCAGTGGAGAAGATTAGAAGTGCTCGTGCTCCAGCAATTCCGTAGCAGCCAGTTGAGCTCCAAAAGACTCCTGCACTTGACGCCAGCAGTCAACAGTGGAGAAGACTGGATTTACTCCTGCTTCAGCACTTCCGCAGCAGCCAGCTGAGCTGCAGAAGACTCTAGCACTTGTGAGGCAGCAACCAGCAGTGGAGAAGGCTGGAGTTACTCCTCCTCCAACACTTCCACAGCAGCCAACAATGGAGATTGTGGCTTTTGATCCAGCACTTCAAAAGCAGCCAGCAGAGGATGGAGTGGTCCCAACCGCAGTTTCCGAGGAGCTGCCACTTAAGAATAGTATGGAAGTTGTTTTACAGATTGCACAATTTTGGAGGCAGGTGCTGATGGCGAGCGGGGTGAAAAGCTTGCTTAGTTACTGATGGTGGTCTTTTAAATATGCACTTTATGATTGGTTTGTATGGTTTGTACTCTTTGTCGTACTATTTGTACACATGTTGTGTGTGCACACTACTTGTGGATTGCAAACTAGATCTTATGGTTTATTAATTATCTAGTTCTCTGTCTTTATGTCTTTTGTAATGTGGTATATTGTTTCATCTTTGTCGTTTTGGTTGTGAGAAGACGAGTCAAATAGTGATGATAATGATGGGGTTGGGATTGAAGATGATTGTGATGATATTTCTAGTTATAATGCTGAAGATGAGTCAAATGGTGAAGATGACCACAAGAATGGCGTCGAAGGTAATCGTTATGTTTGTAGTTGGTGCTGTCCTTTAGTCTCGTTTACTGCAATTTTAATCTTTTTGTACACTTAGTTAATTTTTCTGCTGCTGTTCGTAATGTTTGTCTATTTATACAATTAGTTACTTTTTCTGCTGCTGTTTGTAATGTTTGTTTGTGTTGTCTTTATTTTGTTAGATTCTAGGTCGAATGTTGATTTCATTAATCAAAGAAGCTCGAAAAGGGAGCTCAAGCCATCCAATTTAAAGAGGACACCATATACTATTGGTAATAAAAAGAGTAAACCTCATTCCATGAAAGCACCTATTCCTATTCGGCAAAAAAAGAAAAAACCTACCTCCAAGAAGGTAGAGAAGGTAGCTCCACTTCGGACTAGTAGCCAACTATTGTATGAAGAAAAACTTATTCAATATGCTTGGAGTGACAGATTTCCTGTGTAAGTTTCATTTCATACTGTTTGTATACATTTATATATCAGTTTGTACTTTTCTTCTTCGGTTACTGAATTTAATATAAACGGTTTGTATATATTTTTAGAAATGAAATTCTTTTCGACATGGGTGAAGGTGAGTATCGCTTGTCAAGAAAGGATACTCAAACGACATGTGACAAGATTGTTCTATCAATAAAATTTCTTGATTGCTATATTGAGAATTTCAACTGTTGTTCTTCTTGTGAGAATGGTATTGGTAGATGGTCTTTTCCAACTGACTTTGCGGTGAGTTAATTTTCCCATGTTGTTGTATGTCATTTAGTATCTATTAGCCATATTAATGCAAGTGTATTTTTTTTGTCTTTGATTGTACCTAGTCCAAGGTTGTGAATGACAAAATGGAACCCAAATATTTGAAGGTCATGAAATCTTATGTCAAAAAATACCCATCGTGAGATGGTGCATCTTTCAAGACATGCCAATATGTAAGTTGGAATATTTCATCCTTTGTACACTTTGTGATTATGTTCCATATTTTTTGTATACTTTGTGATTTTGTTCCATATTTTTTGTATACTTTGTACACTTTGTGATTTTGTTCCATATTTTTTGTATACTTTGTATAATTTGTACACTTTGTACAATTCTGCTTTGTATGATTATACTTTTTATGATTCTTCTTTGTTTCTTCTTCATGTGCAGTGGCTTTTACCATGTTGTATGGATGATCATTTCATGGTATATTGTGTTGACTTGAAGGATCGTCGTTTCGAGTACCTTGATAGCTCTCCTTCTAAGCATTTTCTAGATCTGTTTAGGAGGGTTGGAGAGTTGGTCGTCCAGTATGCAACATCTTACATTCAGCACATCATGCCAGGAAAGTAGACTTTGATAACGACTTCAAATGGCGGAGGATCACAATTCCATATGATAATTTCACTAGTGTTGGCATTATCTGTTTAAACTACTGTGAAGAATAGGAAGGTGTGGCTACAAAGACGATGAGGGAAAATGGTCTTCTCCAACCTATATTTACAACTGAAAGATTAATGCTATGTTGACTTTGCTGAATGGGCCAAGCAATTTGATGATCGAGCAATTGAGGATGAATGTGTCTATTGGTGAAGAATTGTTGTTGTCATTAGGGAGTTCCAGTACTGGGTTTTCGCTTGACAAATGATGGAATAGGGAATCAATAGTGTTTTTTTTTGGTAATCATGACAGTATGCACTGGTACTATTTTCCATTCTCATGTTTTGTAATGCGGTGGCCATATGAACAGTAGTGTGGCTGTTGGTATTATGGTTAGAAGGCTATTGCTAACCATTAAGTTTTTTTGAGAATGTAAACACTTGTCCTTTCTTGTATGAACAGTAGGGTGGCTGCATCTATGTTCTGATTTGTAATTTTTATCACAGTAGTTTGTATGTTTTGTTGTTGTGGTTCGTAATTTTGTGTATCCTATTTCGTAATTTTCTTCTAACATAGAATAATCATGTGAAACATACAAATATGAATTGAAAAAGAACGCAAGAAATGAATTGTTTGATGTGACATTTATTCAGTTTCGTAAACTCCAAAATATATCTATGCAATCACTCAAATTTATCTATGCATCTATCAAGTAATATATGATATGGCAAGCAGTTCTGTCTATGTATTTATTTTCCGTCATCCGCCCTTTCTTGTAACTTTGTTTGTCTCCTCCTTTCTAGAATGATTTCACTACGAATCTTCCTCCTTGTCCTTGTAACTTCGTTTCCATTTCTACAATAGGATTAAACAGCAGTAGTCAATTTTTGTAGCATACTTATCCAACAAAGAAACAGACCAGAAAAATATACTAACAATACAAACTTTAAGTAATATCATTAATAAATGTCAAGCTTATGAATATAAACATAAAGAATACTAACTGTTATGATAAAACATGCTAAGGATACAAAAAAGTAACTGATATCATTACAAACCTGCAGCTTGTCCTAGGCTGGCCAAATTTCATGGCAGGTATCATGTATTTACTTTCCTTCATTGCCCTTTCTTGTAACTTTGTTTGTCTTATCCTTTCTCGAATGATTTCAATACGATTCTTCCTCCTTATCCTTGATTTAAATGGATTAGTCCTAACTTTTAATGCTTTCGCCCAAAGTGGTTCGCTCTCTGAACTTGTTGCATTCAATTCTACTTCTATAATAGGGAAAAAAACAACGGATTTAACAGAAATAGTCAGTTTTTTTTAGCCAAACTTATCCTACAAAGAAACAGACCAGAAAAAATATACTAACAATACAAACTTTAACTAATATCATTACTAACAGTTATTGATATGAATATCAACTAAAAGAATACTAACTGTTATGAAAAAACATACTAAGGATACAAACAGTAAGTGATATCATTACAAACCTGCACCAGATTAAAGGTAGTGTTTCATTTCTTACCCGTGCTAGTGACCAACCATGTAATTAACCCGATATGTTTTGCATGTTTGAGTGTATTTCAAGTCCTAGCTGGGGAAATTGGCAAAAGCAACGGAAGTTGGGCAAAAGGGAGCCAAAAATTAGAAGAAATGGAGGAAAGTGTTAAAGCTCACGATCCAGAGCAGATTCTCACGGTCAGACCGTGACATTCACACTGAAAACTACAAGGATCGGATAGATGCGAACTCGATCGACCTCACGATTTGGCTACAATCCTTATGGCCATGACGGGTGATAAGAAATTTGCACATTCTGTCTATATAAAGAAGCAGAAATTTGAACAGAGGAGTCTAGAGTGAGAAAGTGCATATGATGGGTAGAGAGAAAAAGTGACGAAGGTGATCATTAGGTAAATAATTGGAGCTTCAAATCACTAGTGGAGTTCAAATCCATCACCAAGGGTTGAAGATTGAAGTGTAAGAGCAAGAACCCAATCCTCAATGAGGTTTTCTTTTCCTGATTTGATTTATTTATATCTCTCTCATAATGAGTTAAACTTTCTATCACTTTGGGTGTTGTGAATTATAGTTTAATGTGTTAGATTATATAAATGATTGATAACCTTGGTTGATTTACTCATGATTACATACATTTGAGATATTTCATAAATTGTGTTGGGTATTGATCAAACATATAGTAAAAAATTCAAAAATACTTAACTCCACAATATAAGTTCGTGATTGACACTTTAATAAACTGGAATAGCCAGTGAGAGCCAAACAAAGTGGTATTATGATATCAAAATTCATTGATCGGTTTTGCCGGGTTTTGATTGAGTTGAAGTAGGTTTGAAGAAACCGAGGTAAGTCCAAAACAGGTGCATGGTGTCCTTTTTCCCCCTAGTCCGAGTTAATTCCTGTCGACCCATGGGTCACTTAACAACATTTGTGTTAAGTAAGATTTTGTGAATGGTTAGGGGTTTAGAACAAACACGAAGATTTTTGTATGGATTTTTCCGCGGTGCACTAACTCTCTATTTTTCTTGATCATTCACTATTGGTGAATGATTCAAAATTTTGAAGTGGTATAAAATTCTATCATTCATAAAAAAAAAATCGTCGAGAAACAATTTGCGAATATTTGAGGAGAATAATTTGTGTGATAGTGTACAACGTGAGCATTGGCGGACCTATTCAAACCCAAGGGTTGTCAGTTGACAAACCTTGACTGAAACCTTGACTGAAAAATTGGAACAAATTTACACACTAAAAATTAAATTGTTGTTAGCAGGATTTGAACCTTGACAGTTTGACAATCCTTGACACCTAAGTTCCGTTAAACCACTAATCCATTGTTGTTATAATCATTACAAACCAAATATATAATGACCCATCTGCCAAATCCAAGTCCCATTTAAAATCTAATTAATCTCCTTCTCTTCGTTGGAGAATGAAAACTCAATACCAATAAAATTAAAACTCTCGGCCTGTGACTCTCCATATTCCCAATTACAACTCCCAACCTTTTTTGACAGAACCCTTGCTTGCTTCCCCTTCTTCTATTATCGACAACTCATTGTCAGGCGGCACTCGGCAGCTTCTAAACCCCCTAGCGCATACTGTATATCACAACACCTGTAAGTATTTCTTTCCTTTGTTGTATTGCACTTTCTTTAATTTTTTATTTAGTTGAAGTAGAAGAATGGACATGGACACAAGCAGTAGTCCATGGAGTTCTTCTTTTTTTAGTTTCAGTTTTTACTTTGTCCTTTACTCCTTTATAATAAGTTAATAACTATGATTTTCATTGTTAATCAATCAGCTTACGTAGTTATTTACCTTCTGAAATCATATATGGACAAGTATTTGATAAAAAGACCGAGGGCTGAGCAAAATTCGAATAATGGTAGTGGAGAAGCTCAATCTTCTTCACCTTCGTTGAATCAAACTACTATCCCTTCAAGTAAGTCTTCTTCTAGACCTACAGAATATGAGATAGATGATGTCGATAATTTGGAAGCTGATCCGGGGTTAAGGAGAAAGTTTTCAACTTTTCCTGCTAATAAGCAAGATGAAATCAGAAGAGCGTATCTTCAAAAGGGGCCCTGTCAACCAACAGGTCCTACTTTCCCCATTACAGAGATGAGCGGATTTAATCACAAATTCAATCCAGATTGGTATGTTGATTATAAAACATGGCTAGAATACAGTGTTGCAAAAGATGCTCTATAATGCCTACCTTGCTATTTGTTTAGATCAAGTGTTGGTAAAAAAAGTGGAGGAGAAGCTTTCATTAGTCAAGGTGTTAAATGTTGGAATAGGGAAAAGGCTTTGGATGATCATGTGGGTGGACCAAATAGTTCTCATAATGTGGCTGCCAGGAAAGGTGAAGATTTGTTGAAACAGTCACAAAGCAATTCAAGTGTCTTAATAAGGCAATCAGATAAAGCCAAAAGTGAGTATCGAACACGTTAGCAAGCCTCGATTACTACAGCTAAGGTTCTTCTACGGCAAGGAGTGTCATTTCGTGGGCATGATGAAAGTGAATTCTCAGAAAACAGAGGAAACTTTCTTGAATTTTTGGAAGTTATTGCTAATGAGAATCCGGATGTGCGTAGTGTTGTGTTGGAAAATGCTCCAAAAAATCATCAATTGACATCTCCAAAGATTCAAAAAGATATTGTTCGTGCAATAGCATCTCGAACAACAAAGGAGATTATCAAAGATCTTGGAGATGAATTTTTTTGGATATTGGTGGATGAATCTCGTGATGTATCAACCAAAGAGCAGATGGTTGTTGCTATACGTTATGTAGATAAAAAAGGTTGTATTATAGAGAGATTTCTCGGTATTTCTTATGTCACTGATACCAAAGCCACTACACTTAAGAAGGAGATTGAGTCAATGCTTGGGTTACATGGATTGAGTTTGTCAAGGATAAGGGGGCAGGGATATGATGGAGCTAGCAATATGAGAGGAGAAATTAACGGGTTGAAATCTTTAATTCTGGAAAGAGAATCCATCTGCTCATTATATTCATTGCTTTGCTCACCAACTTCAGTTAACACTGGTTGCTCTTGCGAGAAATCATGGGGAAGTCAACCGCTTCTTTGGTCATGTCATTGCCTTGATTAATTTGATTGGAGGATCTCCTAGACGACGTGACAGTCTTCGAGACAGCCAAACCACTAAAGTAATTGAGGCTATAGCTAGTGGTGAACGAGAGAGTGGAAGAGGGTTGAATCAAGAAGTAGGTCTTAAAAGGCCGGGAGATACTCGTTGGGGATCACATTTTAGTACTCTTATTAACCTGATGGATATCTTCGCTGATGTGGTTGATGTGCTGAAGGATATGTATTATGATGGAAGTGTTGATTTGAGAGGTTACGCGCTTGATCAGTTGCATATTATTCAAACTTTTGAGTTTGTCTTTTTTATGAATTTCATGATTGAAGTGCTTGGAATTACAAATGAGTTGTCCATAGCACTTCAAAGGAAAGATCAAGACATTGTCAATGCTATGCAACTAATTACGTGCTCAAAAGATAGATTGCAGAAGTTAAGAGATGAAGGATGGGAGCCTCTTCTTGATGATGTGATTTCATTCTGCACCAAAGAACAAATTCATGTTCCTAACATGAATGACTTGTTCGCTCTTCCTGGAAGAACAAGGCGTAACCCTCATCAACCCACAAACTTTCATCACTTTCAAGTTGAAGTGTTCTATGCGGTTGTGGATATGCAGTTGCAAGAGTTGAACAACCGATTTAGTGAGGTGAATACTTGATTACTGGCTTGTATTGGTTGTTTTAGTCCAGCTAACTCATTTGCTGCTTTTGATAAAGAAAAGTTGATGAGTCTTACCAAGTTATACCCCATTGAGTTTCCTTCCTCTATGCTTACACGACTTGATCGACAATTGATGGGGTATATTTCTCATGTCAAGTGTGATGAGGCATTCAAAGATTTGCGAAGAATCGATGAGCTGGCTAGGCGAATGGTGGAGAGAGGAAAGGATAATTTATATCCCTTGGTATATCTGCTTTTGAAGTTAGTGTTGACTTTACCAGTTGCAACCGCAAGCGTGGAGAGAGCCTTTTCAGCAATGAAATTCGTCAAGAACGATCTTCGAAATCGTATGGGGGACCAATTTATGAATGATTGTTTGGTCACATTCATTGAAAAGGCGTGAGTCGCAACATAAGTGATGAATGTATTATATAAACTTTTCAGAATATGAAAACACTTCGTGGTTCGCTATGAGATACGATGAATCAATGTACTTTATGAATTGAACTTTTTAATTTTAATTTTAGTTTTTTTATAATTTTTTTTTAATACCCTTGACAAAATTTATGGGTCCGCCACTGAACGTGAGCATCATAAAATTGACACGGAAAGTTGCTCAGTTCTCAAACTTCTCGTGCCGTCACGATTCTCAATTAGACATTATCTCAAATCTCAATTTTATATTCATCTTAGTCTGACTGTGGGGATTGAATCAAATCAGCACCGTTCCAAAGGTGTTGATCAATGAAAATTGGACATCCACGGCCATGATCAAAATTTGGAGGAGCTGCTCGAATGCCTTATGTGAGGGTCATGGTATTCCCGAGCAAGATGTTGATCACTAAAAATTAACAAAGGTATTCCTACAAGGTAAGTTTTAATCAAAGAAAGGTTACCTTATGAATCAAGGAAAAGTATATGGTTGGATAACATGGACTAACCCATGGTTCAAGGTCTGATCCCCATGTGTCATCCAAAGTCATATAAATAAAGTTAAATTATCATATGATACTCAAAATGAATTATAGTTGAGCATTGAGCTCTTCTCCCACCAAACACACATTCTCTTTAAGAATTAATAAACTTAGTCAATTCGATTAATCCGATTCAACTACTTGATACTCAGTTGCTTCATCTAATCATAGCCAATCGCTGCAAAATCTTCAAAATAATTAGTAGAAGACCGATCATGGTAAATATTGAGTAGTGTTTGATAAAAAAAAAAGAGAATTGTTTATCCCTTCCTTGGTTATTGGTTAAGAAATTAAAAACAAAAAGAAAGAAAGAGTTTTCAACATTCAAACTATAACAAATAGAATTTTCAATAATTATAAAACTGTATCACAACTTGTACTAGAAAATTCGGTGATATGGTATAAAACTGTTCCAGCGTTGCATATTGGTTTGAACTTGACAAGCAGTCTTCTAGTTGGACTGTCGATACTGTACAAGCAAAGAGAATTTCTCCAATGACATATGGATAGAATTTCACAAAACAAATATATATATATATATATATATATATATATATATATATATATATATATATATATATATATATGGTTCAGGCTAGCGTACGCCCGGGCGTACGTTAGACTACCGTACGCCCGTTTGAGTTTTGCTATTTAGATCAAGAATTAACAGGAGTTTTGGGCATGATACTATACCCTAACCACTAATGGATAAACCCCAGTCCCTAGTTTTCTAACCCAAATCATGAGATTCGTTTAATCATAAAATGAAAATCAACAATAATTTCGACGAATCAGAACCGTTGATTTTCATTTCAAGATTAAATGAATATTATTATTTGGGTTAGTGAATTGCGGACTGGGGTTCACCCATTAGGGGTTAGGGTATAGTATCGTGCCCCAAACTCCGGTTAATTTATTGTCTAAATAGCAAAACTCAACGGGCGTACGGTAAGCTAGGGTACGTCCGGGCATACGCTAGCCTTTGCCATATATATATATATATATATATAAAATGCATATAGTCTTAATTAACTGAAATTTTTTAAAAAGGGAAAGTAAAGAAGGAGGAAAAACAAACATAATATTTAGAAAGTTACTAGTCAAATAATTAAATAAACAACCGAGATTTATGTAGTGTAACAACCATACGAAAAGAATTCATGAGAGATTATTTTTCCCCTAAAATCATGATACCGAATCTTCTTATATATATATGCTGATTTCTAGTTAATATCACTTTTGTACCAAAACATTCATAGACGCTAGGAAAAAAAATAGCTAGAAAAGATGAAAATCTCATCATCATCAGGAATTGTAGTAGTTCTTCTATTAATTTATCTTCTCCCTGGTAATTATCTATATTTTCTGTTAAATTTATCATTTATATATATTTAGTATATATGTCTCTTCTCTTAATAATTGATTGCGGTGATTTGATTTCATATGTATCTAATGTTTTTAATGAAAATTAGGGAACGAGGTCGTAGCATTCCGTCGTCATGAATCTAGGGATGCAGGACATTTTTGTTACAAATTCACTTCTTTTCCTGCTGCAAGTTTGCATTTCCGGGGTGGAGTTTGTAAGGACTCGATATGCGAGAGCGCATGCCGCAATAAGTTTGGAAGAATTGGCGTAGTGATTTATGGACGGTATGAGAATCTATCTTGCGGTTGCTACACTGCTTGTAAGCATTTGTATGACCCGCCAAGACCAGATTTGAAATTAAATTAAGTTAGATATTAGTTCCTCGTGACTAAATAAATATTTTGATACCCTCCCATCAATGGTTTCTCCATAGTTACAAGTTTTTTTTTCTTTCTTTCGACAAAGTATTTCTTTTATTACATATTTCCTTTTTTTTATAATGGTGAAATAAATTGAATTAACACAAAACAAACAAAAGTAACACAAGGACAATCCAAAGAAACAAAGTGCAGCAAAACAGCAACACATGCCGTGAAATAAAAAGCAATAGACATCAATCATAGGCCGCGCCACAAACAGCAAAGAAAGACAAACAGCAGCGCGCAGGCCGCGACAGAGGGACGACACCAACAGAATCCTGGAAAAGATCAAACAATAATTCCACACATAGCCGAACAGCAAAGCAAACAGAACCTCAACGGAGAGACAGACTTCAGCCGGCAGGAAGGGACAGATTATCGCCGGGAGGGGCAGGAGGGGCGCCGGTGACTTCAAAGTCCATCTTTCCTTTTTTTTTGGTAGAATAGGTAATCAAGCTAGCTACCTAGTCCGGGAATGGATCAGGTCAGTAACCTTATGGTGAGTGTCGCAACCGTCCCTCCGGGGGGTCCGAATGTCGTCGCGTCGGCATTTTTGGGAGTCGCCATCGATCTTATTAGGAGTGGATCGAACACTCGTCGGTTGGCTCTGACCTTAGGATCAGAACCGAGACTTGGTCTGCGAAAATAAAGTTCTGGGTTCGCGAGTACGGTTACGTGTGGGGAAGTTAAGCAACACCCCCACAACGCCCTAAATCGGTACTACTTAAGTTTGATAAGTTTATATGAGTTGGGTGTTTTTGTAAGTTTAGGGTCCCACTGGACCATTAAAGAAATTAAATCGTATTAATTGTAATTTAATTGTACGCCCACTGACGTAAAAGATAAAGATAAAGTTAATTGGTTAGTTGGACTCGAACCTTATAGGTTGCCTACGTACCCGTAACACGGGATCAAAGTCCACGTAGTTCGTTCGACTTTGATCGTTTTAATTATAACTTTTACCACGTTCCACTGAACGTAATTTTCGTATTATAATTTTGTTAATAAAATTTAAGTTGATTATTATGAAAAGAGAATATAAGAATTTGAGTTATTAGGGAGTGTTTTGACGTATTAGAAAAGAAACAAGAGGAACTTAATCCGCATTCAACATAACTTTAAATAAATTATTTTAAACGGGATGATTAAATTAGTACATGATGGGCCAGCAGCCCAACTGGTTAACTCGCTGGACTTGATTCCGCACGAGAAGGTAGTCGGTTCGACGCCCACTCAATACCTCTTTTTTCGTTTTTTTTCTTCTTCTGTAGACTCGAAGAGGGCATTTTAGTCTTTTTCAAAAAACTGAGTGTTTACATCTAGAGACGGGAAACCCTAGCCTATCCTCATTTCAGCCAGCCGCCTTCACTCTCTCGGTCTCTCTCTCTCCCGTTTTTCCTCTCGATCCTTCTCTCTGGAATGACGACGAACCACAAAGAAAAACGAACAAAAGAAAATCGCCTGCTTTACCTCTCGTTTCTCTCGTGCTCGCCTCTCTTTATACCGGGCTCCGTCCAAGTTACCGGCCGACGATGGCGACAGGATCGTCGGCGATGACGGCGACATTCACCGCCGGCGATGACAAAATAAAGTTTTTTTTAAGGTTTGTTTTCTTTTTCTTTCGTGCGATTTCTACTATTTTCTGATCTGATTTTAGAATCTTCGAGATTCTAATCCCTATTTTCTTGCTTTATTTCCGGAAAAGCCGACCCAAAATCGAAGGGGCTTCTCGATCTATTCTCTACTATTCTCGATCTACCGTCTCTAGTTGAAACAACGGCGATAAATGAAGAGATCTTACCCTCTGGTAAGATTTTTCTGGACATGCATGTTCACAAATATCTCACAAAAAGTGATTTTTAATCTTGATTTTGTTGGGTTTTGTTTCTGACGAGGTGAAAGAAGGGAAGGGATCACAGGAGAGCCAAAATCCTACCGTGACCGGTGACCACCGTTGCCGGTGACTACTGTTGCCGATTATAATTGATGGGCATCGATAATGGGTGGGTTAGATCTACCATTTTTATCTTTTGTTTGAATGGTTTACTGTATTTTATTTGTTTACGTTTTATTCTGACTTAGTTTGACTCTCTTGCAGATTTTCTAGGATCAGAAAGGATTAGGTGATATCTCTGAACTCTGGGATTTCTTTTTCTCGATCGGGTGCTAGAAACCTAAGGTTTAATTTGAGGCTTGTTTAAATTATATATTTGTTGTTTTCCGAAAATTATTTGCTGAAATGGTAATGATGGATTCGCTTGTCTTTTGACGATGACTACTACTGCCTGTGATCTTTAAAAGAAATATGGATTTGCTTGACTAAAAAAAATGATCACCGCCGCTGCCTAGGACTAAATCTTAAAATCAACTCTTTTCAAGTTTATAATTCGCTTTTTGGCTCGATTGTTAGTTGAAGTTTTTATATTATCTTCTACATGATTGGATAAACTGAAAAAATTGTTATCTTTGTGATTTAATAAACCCGAAATCACTACCTAATCGTATTGAGTCAAATCTAGCACTATCTATCTATAATAAGCAAATCGGATTTAAGCACAAGTAAATGTAACTAGTGGGTATAAATAACGTATTGCTTTTGCTGGCTAGCATATATGTGTGTTTACCATACCTCCACAAAATGATGAAATATATTCAAGTAAACAGTCTGGTTATGTTTAGTTCGTTACTTAAGATTAGATTGACAGATTCACAACAAGATTTAAGAATTTGAATGAAAGCAACAAGCGCGTAGAGAGTTTGAATGCTCCCATCATCAACATACATACAGATCTGGCATAAAAACATATATATCCTTACTTTCTACTATGTTTTTAGATGTATTGGGTTGAATGATTATTTATATGGATGGCAAATGCTTCATGATTGAGATGGATTAGCGAAACACCAACCTTGTTCTTTTGCCGTTTGACGATGATGGTTGCTTGTTGTTTATCCTTTGCTCTTTCAATCGACTGTCCTCTTCTCCTATCAAACTTGCTGTGTAATTTTGTGCTATTGTTCTCTCTATTTTTCTGGAAAAACCAAAGAAAGCCCCCTTTCCGATAATTAGGCCTCCTTATCACTCTCTTTGTATCTCCTTCTCCAATCCTTTTTCTCTCCCCTTTTGTAACCGACCAGCTCCTATATATATATAGTTGCCTTTTTACTGTTCATATTTGTGTGTTGGCTGCTCCTCCTTTGCTCTTGAGGTGGTTGTCTGAACCAACTTTTGTGTTGGCAATTCGGTGTTGGTTCTTTGGAGGAGGTGGCCGAATTCCTCCTTTTGAGATGGCAGTCATTTCTGCTACTCTACAACTCTACTACTCTGTTGCTCGGCGGTTCTGCTGTTCTTGTAGATAAGATAAGGATGATGGGTTTGGTTGACCGGGTCGGCCAGAGCTGACCCGGTCGACCCGAGTTGACTGGCTCGACCAGAGTTGACCCGGGTTGACCAGAGTTAATTGGGCTGAGATATGGGCCTGGATTGTGGGTTTTTGTTTTGGGCTGCCCTTCTAACACCTTCTCTTTTTTTTTTTTTTTTTTGCAGGTCCCTGGTCTGTTTCTGGCCCAAAATGTTTCTGGCTCAAAAGGCTATGCCTCAAATTCCGATTGGTGCCACCCAAAGCAGAATTTTTTTATATATTTTTTTATTCTCATTTTTTCTAAATGTGTACTTACAAAGTGAATCTTAAATGTCACAGGTTGTAATTGGTACTTACACATTCATTTATTTATGTCCTTGCCGTTAGAATTAGATGATCATTGTGTGTGTTACCCAATCATTCAATTCGTGACCAATATCCCAACTTCTAAGTAAATAATTCTTCGTTATGAATTTTGACCAATATTAGTAAGATTACCATGGTCTTCCTACCCCATTCAACCTATGTCACTAATCGTTAACAATAATACTAGTATAAGTCGTGACGACATACTATTGCTATTCTAAATAAAGCGAATTTGGTAGCCATTAGCTACTGCTAATCCTACCTAGTACAAATATTCGAACTAAATAGAAAGAGGACTTGAAAATCATTGGTACTTATTGATTCGCCACCGCTAATCTCAACCAACCTCGTCCAAACTTTCACTTGATTTTTCTTTTTGAATTTTAAAAAGGATATTCTTCCGAGTTCTGAGTAGGATGGTTGCTCCGGACAAAATGTGGTGTCTACAGTTGCCCCCCTTTGTATATCTCTTTGTATAAAGAGTTATACAAAGTTTCTATAAAGACACCACATTTTGAAAAAGTAGCGTCATGGTTGTGTTAAGGATGTGAATTTGGAGTGATGTGAGAACTGTAAGTAATTTTGTGGGTTTGTATTTGATCACCAATTGTGACGACTTCTATTTCTTTGATAGTCTTCACCAATGATGGAAAATTTACGTTTTTTATATAGCGTACGCCAACGCGAAATTTGTTCTGATACTCACTCTACTGTACTTCTTTGACGCATGACAGCGTCGACGATTTTTCTGATGCTCTTCAATCATCTTCTGCTATATTTCTTTAGCGCTTGCCAGCTCCGTCAGGTGTTTACTGGTAGAGACGCTCTTTTTCTCTCGTGCGTTGTTGAATTATAGAGGGGCTCGCCAGCTCCTGTGAGGTATTGATTGGTAGGAGTGCTCCTCAGCTCCCGTGCGTTATTGACTTATAGAGGGGCTCGCCAGCTCCTGTCAGGTTTTGAATGGTTGGGGCGCTCCTCAGCTCCCGTGCGTTGTTGACTTGTAGAGGGGCTCGCCAGCTCCTGTGAGGTTTTGAATGGTTGGGGCGCTCCTCAGCTCCCGTGCGTTGTTGACTCGTAGAGGGGCTCGCCAGCTCCTGTGAGGTTTTGAATGGTTGGGGCGCTCCTCAGCTCCCGTGCGTTGTTGACTTGTAGAGGGGCTCGCCAGCTCCTGTGAGGTTTTGAATGGTTGGGGCGCTCCTCAGCTCCCGTGCGTTGTTGACTTGTAGAGGGGCTCGCCAGCTCCTGTGAGGTTTTGAATGGTTGGGGCGCTCCTCAGCTCCCGTGCGTTGTTGACTTGTTTCCCGTAGCTGTAGGGAAGACTTTGGAATTTGGTTGCCCCCTTGCGGTATGCAGAGTGGGTGAAAGATTTTTTTTTTTTTTCAGTTGCGGTAAGCAGACT